ATATAGGGGATGTTTTCAGTGGAGTCACACTATAAATCAATAACAAAAACTAGGAAGTCTCCTAAATATAATATGTTTACAAATAAGTCATTAGGAGAAAGGATGGAAATCTGAATATATTTTGAACTAAGTGGTCGTGGAGATACAGGGGTCTAAAACTCACAAGATAGTGCTAAAGATGTACTGAGCAGTAAAATTATGGTATTGACAGATTTTTAAGGGAAGTATACAGTTCGGGGTCATTGCAACAGCAACGGTATAGTGTTTGAATCATTCTGAAATCAAACAAATATCTAACAAAAAATGACAAGTTATCCCCATGGCCCCCCAAGGTATGAGTGGAAGAGGACTGCTCAATAACAGCTATAAGACTTGTGTTCTAATTGTTTTGCTGGAGGAAGGAGAGGAAAGCAATAATGCATCTGCTTCAACTGGAAACAGGAACCTTCCTAAATATACTTACATGAAAGAGTGACAGCCCACTCTGAGAATAATAGCTGCAAGGACGAGGAGGGGGAACTTTGAAGTTTTCTACCTGAAGGTGCTAGAGTATCTTGGTTTTTAGGACAAAACCCCGTATTGAAGACTAACTTTTGGAAATAACTTTAAAGTTGAGCAGGATAACAAAATAGAAGCCAAGGAAATTAAAACATCCGGGTATATGTGAGAATGGAGAAAAATCCAGCTGATCTCAGAAAAAAATTAAGTCCGTAGTAAGATTTCACAAAAACAATGGAAGTTCTCTGAAGCATGAAGTTAGAAAAACTATCATGATAAAACACTTCTAAAAATTGAGATTATTTCATGCAATATTGAGCAACAGAAAAAGATCAGCCACATTCCATACAAAGTCATTATAGGCAAAAAAGTAAACATACTTGTAAGCACTGAATGCAAGCCAGAGAGACATGTTCACAAAATATGACCACTGTAACCTAATACTTAAATAGAACTAAAAGTTAGGAGATATGAATGAATAAGCAAATTACAACTCTGAAAAATCAGAAATGAGCTAATTATTTCATAAATGACTATAAGATAAACACAACAGATCATGCCTTAGGAGGAGGATAAAGAAACAAAAAATTGAAAAGAAAATGCAATTGAAAAAATTGAGCAAAATTCAAGAAAACAGAATTTTTAAAAAATTAAAATTAGTAGTGAGGGACGCCTGGGTGGCTCAGTGATTGAGTGTCTGCCTTTGGCTCAGAGCTTGATCCCGGAGTTCTGGGATCAAGTCCCACATCAGGCTTCTTAACATGGAGCCTGCTTCTCCCTCTGTCTATGTCTCTGCCTCTCTCTCTGTGTGTGTCTCGAATAAATAAATCTTAAAAAAAAAAAGTGAAATATTAAATATTTAATTAAATATTAAAACAATTATAATTGGAAACATTTGTTGACAAAGTTGATGCCAATAGGTTAGTTAATTTCTTAATGGGAAGATAAGGGAGTTCCTCTATGATTGTTTCTGTTTTCTCTATGAAGTACTGTTGACCCTTGAAAACTATGGAGGTTAGGGGTGCTGACTCTTGTGCAGTTGGAAATCTGCATATAACTTTTGACTCCAAAACTCAATAACTAATTACCAACTGTTGACTGGAAGCCTGACCAAGAGCAAACACTTCATTAAAATGTTTTGTATGTCCTACATGTTATATCTGTATTTGTACAATAAAGTAAGCTAGAGAAAAGAAAATGATTAAGAAAATCTAAAAATGTGCATTTTTTAGTACTGTACCATATTTATTGAAAAAATCCACATATGAAGGAACCTGCACAATTGATTGCAGCATTGTTCAGTGGTCAACTGTATGCAACATAACTATCTGAAGATAATAAAGGAAGTTGGTGACATAGCAGTATGTTTGATGAAAACTGAAAATGATATTCTGAGGTTAGAAAAGTGAACATATTAGAGTGTGGTAACAGGATAGTTAAGCATTCTTGAGTGTTCATGTGAAATTTATGGTCATGAATTCATAAGGAAAAGTCATGGTTGCATGTTTTTGTCAGGTATAGTTTTGTGGTTCTGAATCAAGATCAAGACACACGTCATTTATTTAAGATTTTACCAGGTATGTGTCAAGAAAGGCGAGAAGTGAAGGGTTATACTAGAGACAAAACATGATGAAAAGGAGAAATAACAGAAACAGTGGACTCAGTTGATTGGACATCTCAATAGGGTCCAGGAATTGCCAGAATGAGAATACTGAATTAGAGGGCCTCGAAGCACAAAAGATTGTTTGGAAAATGGGGGAAAAAATTAAAGATTTTGAAGTGGTAAGTGATTTAATAAAAAAATCAAGAGGGAAGAGTATGACACCTGAATTGGTGAAGTGGGAATGGAAGAACAAATCTTTAGAAGAGAGGCAAAGAATTAGGAGGTTAAACTACGAGATGGATTATGTTGGTAGAGTCACTAAAAACAGTAATGTAGGAAAAGAAAAATTAGTTAAAATTATCAGTGAATGGGAGATTATTAGATTGAGAAATTGGTTAAGTTTGATGTCTTGAATATTCTTTATAAGGGCTCTATCCTTCTAATCTGTACTCTCATTATGCCAATATTTTATTTACAAGTCTTCAGTGTTTCCCTATTTACCAGAAGAGTCCTCTTTCTTTGGTACAGTATGGCTCCAGCATGGCCCTACAACTTTATTTTTCCTCCTCATCTTGTTTTCTTGGCTGCAGCCTACAGAGGACTTTTTGTTTCACAGCATCTTTCATATCCAGTAAATATATCTCTGGGCACATCCTTTCTCTGACACTGTGGCCATTCTCTTTTTCCTTTCCTTTTACACCAGCCTATTCATATTGTGCTCATTCTTCTAAGATTTTACCTTTTTTTTTTTTACCATTTTATTCAACGTCCTAATTTATATAAGGCATTTTATTGTTTTATTTATGTCTTTCACTTCTGAGACTTTTCTTCTTTGAATCATAGTTATTTGCATATATGTCTTCTGCTTTCCTCATGGACTCTAAGCACCTTGAACATAAGAACTATGTGTTACTAATCAAGCAATTTCATGTGGTGCTTAGCATACTAGTTTTTACACAAGTTTAGTTGTTCAGTTAAACTGTGTTACACATCTTTTTAGTTTTCTAGACTTTTTTTGATATTTCAACCAAATGGAATAAATTTTTGTTTTTTCCTTGAACAATAGTAAGAATTTAGCTGTTTCTCATCTTAAAGTCAACTATGTCTACTTTCATAATGCTTAGTTTATGTGTAATGTTATCGATTGGTTACATGACACACTTTAAGGATCTAGTTTATTGGTATGGTCACAGTGTATCCATGTAATAAAACTTGGGGGAGGGGGGTCCCTAAACTAGAGTCTAGGGACAGTAGAGGAAGGGTTACTTTCTGTTTCCAAAGTTTAAGAAGGAGACTATTTGACATGAAAGCATTTCCATTAAACTAGTGGATTAATAGAGTTGTAAAACAAAATTCTCCAGACCTGTCTACCTATGCCTTTCCACTTTCGTGGCTTTTTAAAATAAGAGCAGAAGGACTCATGTGGTGGAATGCAGGGATGAGAAAGAGGATACAAAGTAAAGTGTCAAGGTTTAATGTTTCCCAATATTTTTGTGTATTTTATGTATATCTAATTATATCTTATTATATGTATTTATAGCATGTAAGTATATGTAAAGCATACATAATCTATGTATAAAATTAATAAGCATATTAGTAATGTGTGTGTATGTATGTAGTTTATATGGATATACCATATATACTTAAATAAAACTTTGAAACTGGCAAAACAATTAATATTGGTTAGGTATGTTTATGTTTATACTATACTGTTTAAACTATAAAGAAAGGTGAGAATGGTAAATACAAAAGTCAAGTCGTTCTTAAGCAAGGCGAAGGGGAAAGGCTGGTGATTGGCAAGGGGCACAAAAGATGGAGATGGGTTTTAAACTGTCAATTTCCTTTGCCAATGTTTGTATTTCAACCTAGATCTAAGTCTTATATATTAATCTTAAGGTGTCATATGCTTCACAATTAAACAAGGTTAACTTCAAGAAAAATCTATGACTTATTTTAGCCTTAAAAGAAATATGTTTGCTCATCTTAGTAATTCTTGCATATATGCATAATAGAAGTAGCAATTTATAGAAAGTATTTGTGTGTGCCTATGTGAGAGACACAATTACTTGCTGGTTAGATTAAGCTTTACTTGTTTTTTCTATTAAAGTTAATTTGTTGTAACTTAATTCTCTGGAATAACAACAGCATGATTTATTATAGAAAGTCATATTTTGTAAATATAGTCAATGTCAATTTTTCCTCAGATAACCTTTCTAATAAGAAATTTGTACAAAAATTTTATCCTTATGTATGTATATGTATATGTATATGTACATATATACGTAACATATACCTATACATATGTTTATATACATAGTTATTGAAACAAAAATACAAACACAATACTATTTTAGAAGTTGTAAGTCCATATTTATAACCTCTGTTCAGTAGTAAGATTTTCAAAGTTATAAAGTAGTAATATATTTTTAAATTAGGAATCTCTCACTTGTGATCATTATTTATCTCATTCTTTTCATTTCAAAAATGTGTGGTTACTCTCTTCTTGTAAAATCATTATTTTAGTTAAAAAAAGTTTGTTGAAAATTCATATATTGACTAGGCTTTTAATCTAATTCATGAGTATTTGCCTTTTTAAACTATGAGCCTTTAATTTTATATATTCAGCATACACAAAATCTGTTTAAATAATGAAAAAACACTTTCTTAAATAAAATTCCTAAGATGTTTATCCGACAAAACATAATTGTGGTATCTCCAAGTGAATACTGCCATTTGGTCTAGCTATATATTTCGTAGACCTTGATTGATGATACAACTAATATAATGTACTTTTAAAACTTCAGTGTAATGAAATTTATGGGTTTTAGTTTTCATTTCAAATACATTGAGAAATATTGTCAATACCATTTACTAATTACCATTTTTCAATAAATTACAGCTAAACATTTACCATTTTGGAGTTTAAAGTATGTCATCATGGCAAAGTTTCGAAGAAGGACTTGCATCATTTTGTCACTTATTATTCTATTTATTTTCTCCCTGATGATGGGTTTAAAAATGCTGAGACCAAATAAAGCTACTTCCGGAGATCCTTTTGGACTTGAACTTCTTCCAGAACTTCATCAACAAACTCACTTAAGGAAAAGTTTTGATTCCCAAAACAGTGACAAAGTCAACAGTGAAACAAATATCAAGAACTTAAAAAGTGTTGAAATCACTATGAAACCTTCCAAAACCTCTGAACCTTACCTGGAAGAGCTGCCACCCCTGAATTATTATTTACATGCATTTTATTACAGTTGGTATGGAAACCCACAATTTGATGGTAAATATATACATTGGAACCATCCAATATTGAAGCATTGGGACCCTAGAATAACCAAGAATTATCCACAAGGGAAACACAGTCCCCCGGATGACATTGGCTCCAGCTTTTACCCTGAATTGGGAATTTACAGCTCTCGGGATCCTTCTGTCATTGAAAGTCACATGAAACAAATGTACTCAGCTTCAATTGGTAATTATTTTTATATGTGTGTGCTTAGGTATGTGATTGTGTGTGTATATAAATGTAGAACATTTAAATAGCTAATTACTCTTCACATTGTTATTATAATTTTAAACTTATAAATACCAAATTAAGCTGTATATATATTCTTAAACACCTAGGACACCACTTTTTAACATTACTTTAAAATACGTTGTTTAATTTCTAATATTTGGGACATTTCTGGATATATTTTTATTGTAGAGGTTCTAATTTAATATTCTTAATTATATTAAATTATTTACGTAAGATACAATGAATTCTCCCACTTGAAGTATAAAGCTCAATTATGTTTCTCTAAAGTATACACCTGTTTAAATATTACCCCAACATGAAGTAAAACTTTCTATAGCCCAAAACCTTTCCTCATGCTTCACTTATATACCCCGTATTCCTCCCCAGGAAACTGATTCTGTCACTGTAGAGTAGTTGTGAGTGTTCTCTTATTGTATGAAAATAGAATCATTTAGAATTTGTGTGTGTGTGTGTGTGTGTGTGTGTAGTCCTTTGTTCAGCACATCATTTTGAAGTTTACTCATGTTGTTAACTGTGTCAGTAGTTTAGTCATTATTGCTGAGTAGTATTCCATCATATGATTATAGCAATTTGTTTCAGCATTCATCTTGATGGACATCTGGGCTGTCTCAAATTTTAGGCATGTAGTATATAATTTGGCCTTGTTTTTCTGTTTTTTTTTTTTAAACTAGTCTAATATCTTTTTAAATTTGTGTTTATTTATATTTAATGTAATGATATGGTTTACTTTAAATGTTTTGTTTGCTGTTTTCTATTTATCCCATCTGTTATTTTTTTCCTCTTTTTCTGCCTTCTCTTGTATAAAATAGGCTTGTTCCATTTTTTGTCTTCTCATATTTTTCATCTTTGTTATTTTATGATTGCTCTAAAATTTATAATACGCACTTTATCCGATCAGAAGTCTCTTGTTATTTTTGTTCACTTTTCCCCTTAACTTTCTCTTCCCTCTAACTTCTAGCACTCCAATTGCACACGTTTACATAAAGCCATATTATCCCATAGGTAATTAGTAAAAAAATAAATAAAAAAAAATTAGATCCCTGAGAATTCGTCAATTTGTTAATCTTTAAAAAAACAAAACAAAACTGTGTTGTTGTGTTTCCTCTGTCTTATTAGTGACCCTAACACCAGGGCCATAAAAACAAATTGAGTATTCTCACATTTTTATAGCTGTACAAAAAGCACAAACTCACACTATTGAGCTGATATGTACATCAGAGGTATGCAAGACTTATTCCTGAACAAAATGTAGAATTTTGTGAATCTACATCAACTATGTGTAAGATGACTTGTTTTTCTTCTGTAATTCTTATTTAAAAAATCTACCTTTCTAATATATACTTAAAGCTCCAGTTTCTATGGTCTGTGATAAAGACATAAAATATCAGACAGCATTGACTACCATCTGTTCACAATTTACTTTTGGGGAGAAAAACCTTTCAAATGGCTTTTCTTATTTGTACAAAGAGTTTATATCACATTTAAGTCATTTTTGTTATTTCAAGGTTGATTGTAACTATAAAAGCTATGCTTTACAAAAAAATGGATATACATGGAAGTTTCAGATTTAAGTGCAAACTGAACTTTATGCAATGAGTGTTCCCCCATATATGTTCATTTAAAGAAATAATATGTAAATGACATACTTTGTATGTTATTATCTAATCGTGATTAGGAAGAAAACTTTCAGTTCATATTTATTTTTATGCCTGTGTTATTTTGTGAATACCTTTTTTTATTATTTTGATGGTATTATGAATTGGAGTTTTCTTCCATGTTTTTCAGATGCTTTATGGTTAGTGTGTTAGTGTATGTGTTAAATGGAAGTGGTGAAAGTGACCATTCTGCCTTGTTCTTGATTCTCTAGGAAAAACTTAGTCTCACTCTTAGCTGTTCACTCTGGTATTTTTATATATAGCTTTCGTTGTGATAATTTCCTTCTCAGTTTTTGAGTATTTTTATCATGAAAGAGTTGAATTTTGTCAGGCCCTTTTTCTCATCAATGTAGATTTTTTTTATCCTTCTTCACTCTGTGGTATACTACATTTATTTACTTCCACATACTGTACCATCCTTGCATTCCAGGAATAAATTCCACTTAATCAAGATTTGTAATCCTTTTACTATACTGTTGATTTTTTCAGTAATGATAGATCTTCCTTGTCTTCTGATGGGTTTATGTCCTGTTAAATCCATAGTAAGTTGAAAATATCATAGATCAAAAATACATTTTTAAATTTTAATTTTTTTTTAGAGATTTTACTTATTCATGAGAGGCAGAGAAGAGAGACAGAGACATAGGCAGAGGGGGAAGTAGGCTCCCTGTGAGGAGCCTGATTCAGGACTCGATCCCAGGACCACAGGATTATGACCTGAGCCAAAGGCAGACACTCAACCACTGAGCCACCCAGGCGCCCTGAAAATACATTTAATACATCTAACCTAACATAGCTCAGTCTTGTCTACCTTAAAGGTTCTTAGCACACTTATATTCACCAGTAGTTGGGAAATCATCTAATATGAAGCCTCTTTTATAAATAAGGTGTCAAAAATCTCATGTAATTTATTGAATACTATATTGCAGGTGAAAAACAGAACAGTTGTATGGGTACAAAATGATTGTAGATGTGTGGCTTGTTCACTTTCATGATCACCTGGCTGACTAGGAACTGTGGCTCACTGCTGCTGCTCATCATCAGGAGGGAGTATTGTACCACATATTGTTAGCCCAGGAAAAGATCAAAATTCAAAATACGGTTTCTACTGAATGCCTATCACTTTCACACTATCATAGTATCATAAAGTTGAAAAATCTTAGGTTGAACCATCTCATATCTGGTACCATCTGTATTTTGTTGAGGAATTTTTACATCAATATTCATTTGGGATAATGGTTTAGTTATGTCTTTGCTTTGGTGTTAAGGTAATGCTGACCTCAGAATTAAAAAGTATTCCCTCCTCTTTAATGTTTTGGATAGTTTGAGAAGAATTGGCTTAATTCTTCTTTAATGTATATTGATAGAACTCACCTATGAAGCCTTTGGGTCCAGGGCTTTTCCTTGTTGGGAGATTTTTGATTAGTGATTTACTTTGCTTACTAGTTATAAGTCCATTCTATTTATTTCTTCATGGTTTAGTGTTAGTAGCTTTGGGGCTTCTAGGAATTTGTACATTTCAATATGGTTGTCCAATTTTTTGCCATATATTTTTTCATAGTACTCTCTGATAATTATTTCTGTAGAATTATTAGTAATGTCCCCACTTGTCTTTCTGATTTTAGTACTTTGTATCTTCTTTCCTTTTTCTTAGCCCATTTTGCTAGAGGTTTGTTAGTTTTGATGATTTCTTCAAAGAACCAACCTTTGTTTTCATTGATTTTTCTGTTTCTTCCCTATTTCACTTATCTGTGCTCTAATCTTTATTATTTCCTTCCTTCTAGAAGTCTTACTACTTTTTTCTTCTTGTACTAATTCCTTAAGTTGTAAAGTTAGGTGGTGGTTTTGAGATCATTCTTGATTTTTAGATGTAAGCATTTATGGCTGTCAGTTTATCCCCTTAGCTAGTATCACCTTGTCCATATCCAGTTTTGATATGTCATGTTTGCTTTATTTTTTTCTAAGTCTTTAGAAAACACTTGGCTTATGATCTTTTTTGATCTACTGTTGTTTAATCCTTTAGTCTTTAATATAGTATATTAAATATAGACTTGAGAGGATTTATTTTTTAATGTTAAATCTTATTCATTCCTGGAATAAACCCCATTTGTTGATAATTTATTATCTCGATTATATAATAGTATATCCTGTTTGCTAATCTTTTTAAAAAGATTTTGTCTGTGTCCATGTTCAGCTGGTAAATTGGTCTGCAATTTTTCTTTTCTTGAAATATCTGTCTTTTTGTTATTAAAGTAGTACTGGTGGAGTGCTCAGTTAGGTGTCTAGCATTTGATTTTGGCTTAAATCATGATCTCAGGGTCATGAGATCCAGCCTCACATTAGGCTTCATACTCAGTGTGGAATCTGCTTGATACTCTCTTCCTTTCCCTATGCCCCTCCCTTCACTTACACTTGCACTCTCTTTCTAATAAATAATTAAAATGTTAAAAAGAAAACAAAAATAAAAAGGCTAGCCTGATAAAACAAGTTAAAACTTCCCTCTTTTTTTCTGGAAGAGGTTAAGTAGAGTTGGTTGTATTTCATATTCTGTATTTGATAGAATTCTCCAGTGAAACCATTTTGGCCTGGTGGTTTCTTATTTCATTTAAATTCAAGTTCATTAATAGGACTATCCATGTTATCTATTTCTTCTTGAGTGAGTTTGGTCCTTTTTTAGTTTTTAAAGAACTGGTCAGTATCATCATATTTGTCAGTTTTATGTACAAAAATTTGTTTATATTTATCCCTCCATTACGCTTTTAAAATATATGAGGTCTTTATATTCTGAATGTTTTACCTCTTTCATCTGTGCTTTTAATAGTTTTTTTTTCCTCCTTTTTTTTTTTTTAATTTTGTCAAGTGTATCTAATATTACTGATCCTTTCAGGAAACCAATACTTGGTTTCATTATCTGGAAAAATGTTGATTGCTGTGGAATTACATCTTACAAATGTCAATTGAAGTTCTTGATAGTATTGTTCAGGTCTTTTGTATGCTTGCCAGTTGTCTACTTGTTCTATCAATTATTGATAAAACAGTGTTGATGTCTTCAAGTGTAATTGTGGACTTAATCTGTTTCCCCTCCCAGGTCTGCCATTTTTTTGTTTTCTATATTTTGAAGGTCTTTTGTTAAGTACATGAACATTGAGAACTGCTATATCATTTGAATGGAATCCTTTATTATGAAGTATCCCTTATTTCTTTTTAAAGATTTTATTTATTTATTCATGGGAGACACACAGAGAGAGAACCAGAGACATAGGCAGAGGGAGAAGCAGG